ACTATCGAATCATACGAATAAACCATTCAAAAAACAATATCAAATCGAAAAAAACACAATCAGAAAACAATTTACAATGTAACAATATCGGCATGTTTCCCTTCCACCGCCAGATCCAACGCCGTCTCACCGTTGCTGTTCTTTAAGTGTTGATCTGCGCCACGTTTCATCAACTGACAAACGATTCTGAAAATTGCACGAGTCAACAAATCAACTCACAAATCAATCAAAATCCACCGAAAATTTTACACTCTCAAAAAATCGCCTAAAGTTACAGCGAACTGACTTTTATAAGAAAATGACGACTGTTCGATTCAGTGTCTCAAAACCTTTCTCGTCACCAATCTGTTGAAATTCCTTCACCTCCAAAAAATCTCCTTTTAGAGCGTTAATTTGACTAGAGATAATTCATTCTTTCTTCAGTTAAATGATCTATCGTAAAAATGTACAAATGCTCTATTTGTATGGCTGATGATCTTCTGAATATCGCAATCAAATGCCAAAACAACCCACAAAGTATGTGCGTTTGCACTTGCGATATGAAGTGGTGAGTTCATCGAGTCATCCAATGAGTTCACTTTTGAGCCATTGAGCAGTAGAAATTCCGCAGCAACTCCTTGATTCTGAAAATGCAATTTGAGAATTCAAAACTGAAACGAGCTGAATAGAAAACAACTTGCTGAAGATTCTTTCCGAAAACTGAAACCTTCTCAACATTTCGTTGAAAAACTCTCCCAATCATCAACCTCTTCTTGAATTTATAACTGCTATCACCCAGTGGCATCAACCTCCTGAACAGTATCTATCTTCAAATCACAAATGAACACAAAAATCGCAACAACAAACATTTTTAATAGCCGTATGCAGTGCAGTTGTTTTATGGAATGTCGAATGGATATCAACCCCTTGCGCCACTAAACGAGACAATTCAGCGATATCACCGCTTGCCGCAGCTTTGAGAACATTCTCAGCACATTCTTGACTCGTCACACCGTTCGTACCACTACTACCTTCAATTGCCACCAATAATATAATAAAGCAATTCAGTCATACATTCAAACGACAATAACCGAAGTACTGAAGTATAACTATTCGATCATTCGCACAATAATATTTTAACATAAATAATCTTCGCCTACCAGCCACATCCTGTTGAGTTTCCTCAATTTCTGTGTCGGAACCACACGATACAGATACTCGACGTTGCAGCACTTCAACTGCAAATCAAACCGATACATTAAAATATTAAACAAGATCAAATTTCAATCA